TGGGAATTCGAAATTAGACCTCCATGCAGACAAAAGAAAATGCAAATTTAATTAATGGAGGCATTGTGTTCTTCAAACTTCTATCGTTGAACATTGAATAAGCAGAATTTTTGCGATAAATTTGCATTGTAGTTTTCAGTAGTGATTAGATTTTAAAGCCCTTTAATTGGGACTAATTTTCAATAAAACAAACGTCCAGTTCCCATCGGCGGAAAATGGTGATTTTTATGAACTTTTTTGTCGAACCAGTACTTCTTCATTTTTCAACTAAATTACACGTACAACGTGTCATTTGAAAAAGAAATAAATGAACTTAACAATGGTGTAAAAATCGTGAAAATACGCTTTAAGATAATTATTCTGTATTCGGAATTCAATGACTGTGCCGTTATCATTCCAAAACCAGCAAGAGACTTACAAATACAATATTAATTGTTTTCCAGGAATAACATTTGGAAACCTAAATATACCTGCTCAATGAAAGTGAAACTGATCTCTACTGATCTAAATTATTTTATATCATGGGCGGTGAAACTACACGGATTTTGGGGGGAGGCCATTTATTCACATACACTGTTCTGCGCGATGGATTTTTTTTGACCCATTGACTTCGTTCATTTTCGCGCTTGTATACCATGAAATATCTACAAACACTGATAAGTACAGATTGCAGTCACGTAGCAATGCGGCCTGACAATTTAGTCCTGCTATACTAATATTTTAGTGCATCTTGATTATGAAAACAAATAATTTCTGCAGAAATGAATAATGATTATTTGTTCATCAAGGAATAAGACGCTGACACTTTGTATGCAAGATCAAATCCACTCCAATGAAACTCTACTCCACAAATCCATAAAAAATTATCCTGTCCAGTTGTAGAACCAAAATACCAAAATAATACCAAAAAAAAATTTTGTACCAAAATAATAGTACGAGTTATGTTTGAAATATTCATCAAAATTAAAAAAGCGGGATGGGAGAGTTTAATTTTCCCAAATTTGAAACATCACGAGTACTATTCTAATAACCGCTAATTGTACCAGCAACACTACATTATTGCATGGCAAGGCCGTGCGCAGGATGTTTAAACAATAATTCATTTTGACTGCTCTGCGTCGATTGATTCGAAATTTATCTTCCAGAATTTAATTTACATACTTCTGAAAACTCAAAATTCGCGTCCCGTTGTCGCTTCGCGTCCGGTCTGTGTCCACCTTAATAAGTAAATAAACACGGCGGAGTATATCGGCTAAATGCACATCAAAAACTGTAATCACCATCCTTAAGTCTCACCAAACAAAGAAGAAACATTATACAATTAAAAACTAAGTAATATTATTAGAAAACTACTGCAGAAAATGACTACTTTTTTATTGTTGTCTTTAATTATTGTAATAAAAGAAAATAATGTAATAAAAAACGAACTACAAAGCATGCGTTGATACGTACTACATAGAATATAGTAATTATATTTGCTAACTTAGTCAGTAATTTAGGGTCCAATATTCATAATTTACGGTAATTCTATGTCGTTAGTAATTGAAGGCCTTAACTTTTTAAGCCTAAAAATTGTCTTGAATTTTCCAATTGGAAGCTTGCAGGTCCTAACAATTGTTTCCACTTATACTATGTTACTATTTGCTGTAATCATCTTCCTGGCAACATCTCGCAGTATATGACAATATTAGAAGATAAAAAGGTCTTAGAATGCGAGACGAATATAGAGGCTGAAAATAAACAATGGCTCAATTTCAAAAACTTTTGACGAAACAGTAATACAGGCACATGCAGATAATTATTTTTCATCGGTTAAATGTATTTTATGAAACAAATGAAAAAAAAACACTTTATTATTAGAAACAAAATGTGCATGGTTACATCTTCTCAATTCTAAAACCCTTCATCTTCGATTAATACTTTGAAAAATTAAAATTTAAGTTTAACTGATTTTCTGTGAACATTACGACCAACATTCTTCAACCACTTTGTGGACTGGCATAATTCTTTTCGCACTTCCTTGCTTATGTGATGTCTCTCCTCGTACAACGCTACTGAACGGCATATCTGTACGCACATGGTCGCTATAACGGTCCGTTAATGAAATTGTTTGAACACGATCCACGCAGTATATAGATGAAACAAAAGCCTTTCATATCCATATCCGCTTCCTTTCCTTAAATACACTTGGCCAGTTATGATCACGATTTGTACATAATTTCGAGGCACCAGTAAAAGTGATTTATTTAAACCACAAGATCAATAACCACTTGCTTGGTGTGCATGATTATAAATAAGGAAACAACAAATACACATATGGGTATAATTATATCGTTTAGTCGACTGAAGCACTGTCACAATACCCAACCCTTCATCTGTCCAATACTTTAACACTGGTAACATATTTCAATTTTATTGCTTTCCTTTTCTAGTTCAGTGAGTAGCATGATCTCGGTATACCATATGATGAGTTGAAAGTGTATTCCTTTTCTCAATGTAAAATAATTGCTCTTGCAGTCTTGCCGATTTCTAACTTTCGTATGTGAAGCAATTATTGTTTCAATATTGTTTCAATTATTGTTTCAGTTGCCCGATTTTTGTTACGCCGATGAAATAACTGTGAAGACGTTTGTCAACAATTGTCAAAACAAATGTCATTAGTGTTCTACTGGGTCGTAGAAGGTAGATCGGTTTGATTGATGTTATCTTTTTTTTAAACAGAAGGCAAAATATTGAACTATTTCATATGTTTTTAACGATGTTTTCGGCGTTGCAAGTTCAAAGTCCTTATTACTGAACAACGCTTTGAAGATCCTCACATATTTTACATCCTTCTTCATTGCGGACACACATCAATACAATGCGCGTGATGTCGGTCCACTAGGTTTTAGAATGTTGGCTAAAGTTTATGTTATTTCTTATCTATAAATAAGTATCAAGTTATATCTGAAAGCGTTTGATGCTTACAACGTTGTAAGAAAAATTGAAACTCTCCTCTTTCTTTATGAAAGTTTAAGCATACTTTGAGAACCTCATTTATTAATGGTAGGTAGGTACATTTAGTATAAATATAACTCTGATTCGAATAACAGAAAATTACAGAACAAAAATCAATTAATCAATAATTTTGACTTTTTTACTAAACTAAGTTTGCTTAAAATTTCTTAACATTAGAAGCTGCCGCATATAAATTAAATATTTCTCTTATCTTAAAGAAAAAATCTGGAATTCCGCAAACTTATAATATTGAAGGTCAACTTTTCCACATATAATTTGCTACAGGCACTTTATTTTCTAGATGCCCATACAAGCACCAAAATATATCTCGGAAACGCTGAGCAGGACGGTGTTAGCCTGCATTTGTTTTTCTAAGTAATTTTTTTTTTTTGCTATGTTGCGCATGCCTGAAACAAGTGTACATTTATTTCTGGGAGCAAGTTCAAATGCTTGCACAAAAAGTTTAATCTGCAAAGTCAAATAAAGTGCTGCTTTTATCAGTGAAAATTTCATACAGGCAGCCACCCCCCTTTTTTCAAAAATATAACAATTGGATGTGAACCGATGACGAGTGGAGAAAAATAATAGAATATCTGCTTGCTATAGCGTATTGTTTTAACACTGAAATGATATCCTACATATAATTTTACTTGCATATTGGAAATTAAAGAGAAGTAAGCAGGTTAATGTTCTAATCCTGACTGGCCCGATACCTCAATAACGAAAGGATGAAACCCTGGTTCATGCAATTTGAAAGAAAATGCTATTCCCCTTCTTGGGACCAGCGTATGCAAATAATGGGAATAGGGAATAAGTATGCAAATAATGGGGATAGGGAATTCTTAAATCACATTTGAATTGAAATTGATATATACTTACGGCTTGGCGATAACTGCAAAACTGCATACCAATCGTACTTCGTCCAATGCACTATCACACTTTGAAGAGAGGAAATGTCTACTTACAGTAGGAGGCAAAAGTTTGAGTCCAGTGACTGTATTTCTTTGTTTCAGCAGCATATATTAATATTCTACAGAAAACCTTACCGATAAGTGAACTAGAAAAAAGTAAACAAGTAAACAGAAAAATACATGCTGTACAACAACTATGAGATGTTATGATATTCATTTTTACGTATTTTAATGTGCAAACATGCATTTACATGTCATTGCTTAGTTCCCTCTTTTTTGCTCTTGAAATGACCTTTATTCTTGCTCGCATAGATTCCATAGGTTTTTTAATGTCACACGTTCAATACCTTGCCAGCATTCGTTGACCACTTGCCTCAAGTCAGCCTGGCTGGCGGGTCTGTGCCTCGCCCTCTTCCGGTTAAAACGGTTCTACAAGTGCTCCATAGGTTTTAGATCTGGAATATGAGGTGGAAAGCCATGACAACGAGATCACCAGAATGAGTTTGCTTCTAAACGATTTCTGGCACATAGAAGATGTGCATGTGCTTAGGGTGATTATCATGTAGTTAGACGTGCGATCATCTTTGTACCAGATGAAATTCCATGTCCTTGAAGAATTGGATGATACTTTTCTTTAATTAGGATCCTATTATATCTTTCAATATTGCCAAACCGAGCATGACCAAAGCAGCTAAAAGTTTGCTTGAGTAGGATTTAGTTTCTTCGAACCTCTCCAAGGTTAGTTGCATACCACCTTTTTAAATTCTCACTTCTTCTGCGATCTTACGAGGAAAGAATCCTTCAATACTTAATGGAACTATTTGTCCTTGTGCACCATCACTTTGCCCTTTTTCCTACCCATCTTGGGCAGTGTAAAGGAATGAGAACTTTATTTTGTTATAATTTAGATCATTAGGACCAAAACAGTGTGCAATTAATATAGTTTACAGTACTGAAACACTAGCACGCATGTCTTAACTCCAATACGCTGCCAGGATTTAATACTGGAATTCTACAACGACTGGACTCAAACTTTTGCCTCCTACTGTATATTGATTTAAAAAACTGAATATTTCAAATCCGATACTGGCTACACAAAGCTATATAATTATTATACTTACAAACCTTAGGGTAATACAACAAAACCAGAGAACATGTCACGTGATTTATCTCTGATATTTTCGATGTCATGTTTCTGAAAAACCACGTCCTCCCCGTAGATGGTAAATGGGGCCCAGATTTTGTAAGACCGGTATGCCTGGATTTGGTGTTTTTGGAAGAGATTCTTTGTCTTTCTTAGTGCTTCACAAACCGATGTTCCCTGGCACAACTCACCATAAAATACTTCCATAAACTCTTTCGTGGCATCATCACTAATGGGCCATAGTGTGGCGAGAACAGTGCGAGCCCCGGCTGCAATAAATGCCCGAGCAATACCTATGACACCTTCGGAAGAAATCTCACCTTGCCCGGTATGGCAACAGCATAAAACTACCAAGCTAGCTAGCAAAGAAGTATTTACAATATCCTTCTGTGAGAGAAGGTAGTCGTCTGGATAAGGAAGAGTCGAAAATGGCCGAGTCGAAGAAACGTTAGGGGAAAGCATTATTTCACCTCGAAGTTGTTCACCGTGAGCAGCGATATGGATTATGCTAGCCCCAGATAAAAGATCCAGTACAACCTGTTTTCTAGCTTCACGCCCCACTAAGGGTCTAGCATTGAAGAGCTTTGAAAGACATTCAACTTCTCTAGCAGCATTTGGTAGGGCAGGGGGTGAAAATTCTTTTCCATTTAAGGAAACCGTTCCAACGGTTGGATTACCAACAAACAACGCAAAACCAAGGCCCAGATCTTGAGAGCGTTCAATGCTAAACCTTAGAGTGTGTAATGATGGCGTAACTTGAATGCTGTAATTGTGGGATAAGTGACAACCATTTTCATCAATCAATGACGAAAATGGGACAAAAAAAATTGCTTGTCAGGAACAACTATAAGTTTATTGCCTTTAATCACATCGCTTACAGGGTCAATAAGTAGTTTAAACAATGTTTTCAAAATACCGTCTTGGTTTAAATCATCATGCCCAACAGAAGGTTTCTGATAAAGATTTTTGGACGGAGATTTTTCTTTAAAAACGTCCAAAGGAAGAATCGATTTTTCATCAATACTGGGCACTGAATTAAGTTCGAAAAACGAGGAATCCCGATTAACATTCACATTCACCATTCTGAACAATTCACTTATCAGTTGCACAAATTTTTCCAATCGTGCCTCTGATTTTGACACTCTATATCTAAAGATTACTTCTTTATTCAACACCCAAACATTTAGAAAACCTGGCCAATCAAAAGCGAATACTATAATGGAACTATCGTTGCCGCTTACCTGGAGGATGCTTTGTAAATCTTCGATTTCTACCTGTTCTTCACCATTCTTGATTCTATTCCATCCCGAACTTGCATAATCGAACATTTTTGTATTCAAAGATTTCTTTTTTCTTTCAATGGACCAATGAAGTTCTTTAGCCCTTCCAAGGTCAATGACTAATAATGCAGATTCAATGCGACCCACAGAAATAAAACAAATCATGATCTTTACATGGGTGGTAAAGTATTGTTTAGTGAATGACAGCTTATTTTGGTCTGGTACTGAGTTTAAAAACATTTTGTCAAGGATGCTGATAGATTCCATGAAACATGATATTGCACCTTTATATTGTCCTAATAATACAAGTACAAATCCCAAATTGCTTTTACTAATGCTAAGACTAAGTGACGGATCATCATTAATATCAATGCTTATTTCTAAAGCTTTCTTGTAATAGTCAATGGCTTTCTCATATTCTCCTAATCCAAGGTAGGCACTGCCCAAATTTAATTTCTGAGTGGCTATTGCAGATTTATCGCCCATACCAGTACTAATTTCTAATCCCTTTCTGTAACAGTCAATAGCTTTCTCGTATTCTTCAAAGCTGTGGTAAGCACTGCCCAAATGACAATAGCTCTTTGCTATTGCGGACTTATTGCCAATGGCAGTACTCATTTCTAAACTTTTTTTGGAATAATGAATAGATTTTTCATATTGTCCTAAACATCTAAAAACAACGCTCATATAACAATTGACCTCTGCTATTTGATACTTATCGCCAATAGCGGTACTAATTTCTAAACACTTTTTTTGACAATCAATAGATTTTTCATACTCTCCCAAGAATATATGAGCAATGCCCAAACCGCCATTCGCATCTGCTATCCCTGATTTATCGCCAATAATAGTACTTATTTCCAAACCTTTTTCGAGGTAATCAATAGCTTTGGCGAATTCTCTCAAATAACGGTAGGCGATGCCCAATTTGACATTGCTTGTTGCTATGCCTGACTTATCCCCTATAGCAGTACTCATTTCTAAACCTTTTTTGTAATAATAAATAGCTTTCTCATACTCTCCAAAACTAACGCAAATATCACCCAAATTGCCATTCCAAGATGCTATTCCTTCCTTATCACAAATATAGCGACTTAATTCCAAGCATTTTTCGCAATAATCAATGGTTTTCACATCGTCTCGTAATCCAAGGTAGGCATTTGCCAAGTCTTTACAAGTTTTTGCTATTCCTAGCTTATCACCAATAACAGTTCTCATTTCTAAACTAGTTTTCAAAGAGTCGATGGCTTTTTTTAAAATCTCCAATTTTTAGGTAGGCAATGCCTAAATTGCTATTGTTTAGAGGCAACTGCAGACGTCTGGCCAATATCAGCACTCATCTCTACACTTTTTTTGAAATAGTCAATAGCTTTCTCGTATTCTCCTAATATAAGGTAGGCATCACCCAAATTTTCATTGTTATTTGCTATTCCTGACTTATTATCAACAGCAGTACTCATTTCTAAACCCTTTTTGCAATAGTCAATAGCTTTCTCATACTCTCCTAAATTGAGATAGGCTTTACCTAACACTCCACTGTTTCTTGCTATTTCTAAATTATCACCAATAGCAGTACTCGTTTCTAAACCTTTTTTGCCATAGTCAATAGCCTTGGCATATTCTCCCAAACTATGGTAGGTTATGCCTAAATTGGCATTGTTATTTGCTGCTACTGACTTATCGCCAATAACAGTACTTATTTCTAAACCTTTTTTGAAATAGTCAATGGCTTTTTCATATTCTCCTAAACTATGGTAGGTCATGCCTAAATAGGTATTGTTAGTTGCTATTCCTGATTTATAACCAATAGCTGTACTCATTTCCAAACCTGTTTTGATATAGTCAATGGACTTCTCATACTCGCCTAAATTACGGTAGGCACTGCCCAAATTCCCATTGTTAGTCGCTATTCCTGACTTGTCGCCTATAGCAGTACTCATTTCTAAACCTTTTATACAATATTCAATGGCTTCCTCATATTTTCCTAAATAGATGTAGGCATTACCCAAATTGCCATTGTTAGCAGCAATTCCTGACTTATCGCCATTGGCAGTACTCATTTCTAAACCTTTTCTATAATAGCTAATGGCTTTCTCATATTTTCCTAATTTAAGGTAAGCATTGCCTAAATTGCCATAATTAGTTTCTATTCCTGATTTATGGCCGATAGCAGTTTCCATCTCTAAACTCTTCTTAAAAAAGTCAATGGCTTTTTCATATTTTCCTAACAGAAGATAAACATTGCCCACATTGCCATTTATAGTTGCTATACATGATTTATCGCCAATAGCGGTACTAATTTCTAAACCTTTGTCAAAGTAGGCTATAGCCTTCTCATATTCTCCCAAACCAAAGTAGGCATTACCCAAATTGCAATTTTTACTTGCTATACCTAGCTTATCACCAATAGCAGTACTCAATTCTAAACCTTTTTTTGAATAGCCAACGGATTTTACGTATTCTCTTAATTCATTATAAACATAGCCCAAATAGCCATTGTTATCAGCCATTCCTGACTTATCACCAATAGCTGCACTCATCTCCAAACCTATTTTGAAATAGTCAATGGACTTCTCATATTCGCCTAAAGTAAGGTAGGCATTGCCCAAATTGCTATTGTTGGTCGCTATTCCTGACTTGTAGCCTATAGCAGTACTAATTTCTAAACCTTTTATATAACATTCAATGGCTTCCTCATATTTTCCTAAATAGAGGTAGGCATTACCCAAATGGCGATTGTTAATTGCCATTCCTAACTTGTTGCCATTAGCAGTACTCATTCCCAAACTTTTTCTGTAATAGCTAATGGCTTTCTCATATTCTCCCAATCTAAAGTAAGCATTGCCCAAATGGCCATAGTTAGTTTCTATTCCTGATTTATGGCCGATAGCAGTTTGGATTTCTAAACTATTTTTAAAATAGTCAATAGCTTTCTCATAATCTCCTAATCTAAGGTAAGCATAGCCTAAATCGCCATAGTTAGTTTCTATTCCTGATTTATGGCCGATAACAGTTCGCATTTCTAAACTCTTTTTAAAATAGTCAATTGCTTTCTCATATTCTCCGAACATAAGGTAAACATTGCCCACATCGCCATTTACAGTTGCTATACATGATTTATCGTTAATAGCAGTACTAATTTCTAAACCTTTGTTAAAATAGCCAATAGCCTTCTCATATTCTCTCAAACGAAGGTAGGCATTTCCCAAATTGCAATTTTTACTTGCTATACCTGGCTTATCACCAATAGCAGTACTCAATTCTAAACCTTGTCTTAAATAGCTAACGGATTTAACGTATTCTCCTAATCTAAAATAAACACTGCCTAAATTGCCATTGTTATCGGCCATTCCTGACTTATCGCCAATGGCAATATTCATTTCTAAACCATTTTTTAAATAGTCAATAGCTTTTTTATATTCTCCTAAACTAAGGTAAACACTACCCAATTTGCCATTAATATTTGCCATTCCTGACTTGTCGCCAATAGCAGCACTGATTTCCAAACCTTTTTTGAAATAGTCAATAGCTTTGTCATGCTCTCCTAAACTATGATAGGCAGTGCCTAAATTGCCATTGTTATTTGCCACTCCTGAGTGATTGTCAAATTGAATGAAAATTTCTAAGCTTGTTGCAAAATACTCGATAGCCTCTTCAGGCTGTCCTAGGTTTAAACAGGCAGAACCCAGTTTCTCACAGGCAGTTGCTAACCCTTGAAAATTGCCAATTTCAGTACAAATTTCCTGATATTTAATGTAATAGGTAATAGCCTTTTTATACTCTGCTAATCTAAAATGGGTTTCACCTAAGTTGAGATTGATGTTTGCTCTTTCTAAGGGATCATTGTTTGCAGTGACAGATTTTGAAGACTTCGAATCCATTTCGTCACCTTTTCAAGTGTCTCTATCTTTACTTCAGACCTTAAACAAAATTATGTAAAAACTAATTAGAAGAGGTTAATTAATGTATATACCGCGCATGGAAGAGTATTTCCTTTGTTGACACTATCGAATTTTGAGGTGTTATTGTGATCGACACTTGTAACAGTATTAATCGGACTGGTAATAGTGATATTGAAAATGCACCATAGGGCTGTTTTTGGGACAAACCTTTGTTTACGTCCCAAAAACAGTTCCTTAACTCTTTTAAATAAACAATAATATAAGTTACTGCATTAGTATACATTCATTTCTAAGAGAGAGCCTTTGTTCACGTCCCAAAAATAGGACTTAACTGGTGTTGATTCCCTCAACCTTTTGTGCAATAGCGAATGGTTTTCGCCTTTTCGCGCATTCTCCTAATCTAAAAGATAAGCAATTCCTAGCAATTGTTGCCTGCTTGTGCGTTTACAATTAGTTGAGCCGAACCATTATTATCGGCACGTTTATTTGAAAAGAAAAGCAACTGAAGGCACGGACCTTAAAACCGCTATATCAGATATTAGAAAATGAAAATGTGTAATAGAAGTGTAATAAACATACGCTCTTCTTCGGACTTCTACGATATTTGATAGTACCTAGGAAATCCACGCCGATTATGGTGAAAGGTATTATTATCATCTTAGGTCTATTCATGTGCAAAAATTCAGCAGGCGGGCTTGGAATGGTTATACAACAGGAAATCTCTTACATCCATAACGTTTCTTTAGGGATCGCTTTGCCAACATACGAAAGCAAAGATTGCCGAGGAATCCAAAATCTTCACGAACTTTCGCGTTCACAAACTTTCCACTCTTGGGCTCTGCGGACCGAAAATAGCTCTGGAATCTTGATCTATAATCTCCTGTAATGTTAATACTCTCTGGATCTTGTTGGAAGGATTTCGAGGATTGTGCTTGAATCTCAAAGCTGAATCATCAATCTTTCTTGTTTTACTCAAGCTGAACTCTTCGATCGAGAATCATCCAGGCCATTATTCCCCTTTTTCTCAGCATCAATTCTTGCTTTTGTACTTGTCACGATCTGAGGTGGCCATTCACCTGGATCAGCCAACTAGACTGGACATTTTCACCACACAACGCTGCTGACGTGAGACTGACGCCACGACTACCCATGTCTGCAGGGTTGTCAGATGTAGGAACATAAACTGATGGCTTTGTAACACTTTCGGATGCCTTATAATTTTGTTGACACGGTTTGCAATGAATTGCGGTATTCGCTACAGTCGTTAAACCAATGGACGGCTACTGTGCTTTCTAAAATACATGAAAATGTCACGTTTTAAAGTTTATCGATATCAGGGAAGTTTTCATTATCCTCAGCATTTTCCAAGGAAGGCCAGGAAGTTCGTCCTTTCCAAGGTTGACCAAGCTGCTCATCTTGATTTTCAAATGAATGTTAACGGTCATTAGGATTTGTTTCCAGCTCCTCTTCTTCGTTCGGATTCGATTTGTGAATGAAGAACAAACTGAGAATCGTTTAAGGACATCGATATGAACGGCATCTCCTCGGATTCGCAGTTACGAATTTTGAGAAATGTGTGGTGCCAATCCTCCAAACGGGCAACTGGATGCAGGCGATTTCTCACCAACACACTCCAAAACTTATTCTGCAAGTAGTGGCCCTCATTCAACAAAGATGCATTATTGGAGACACGTCCAGACGCGCGTGGATTCGGTTTATACTCCTTATTTGACCAGCTTTTTCATAACACTGGGCAATCCGCATTCGTTTAAAAAAGCTGTCTTTTTAGTGATCTTTGCGCTAACAAGCAACCTTTTTACTTTGTTGGCATAGTACTTAATACAGTATTAATCTTATACACGCATATATTAAACCACTGTGAAGGTAGCCTATAGGAATTTGAAAATTTTATAATTTGTATAAAGTAATTAGCAAGCTTTTAAAATTTAAGTCCGAATAAAATTACACAATTTTAACATTATTATGACTCCCGTAAAATTCGCATGTCAGCTCATAACTCAAATCAAGTTGAGTTCAATCCAATTATATAACAGCTCAATACATATAAATACTACATTCGAATGTTCTCACTCACATGCCATATATATTTATGTTCGTTTTTTAGTCGCATTTCGCAAATCCGGAATGCTGATTACTGGAGGAGAAACACTTATAATGTGCATAAATAACGAAAACTTCCTTTAGGATTTATGTTAGGATTGATCGAATTTTCTATTAAACAGGCAGAAGTAACATATTAAACAGGCAACTGTATAGCTATGCAAAAAATGTATACTGTAAATTTGAAAAAGCATCTAATATTATAAATTATAAAAAAGTCTTCACGGCTATACAGAACATGAAGCATGATTGCGACGTGATCTATTTATTTATCTATGCATTTATTTATTTACACATCTTGCCCGAGTCACTTATCTGAGTTTTGCTGGAATCGCAGTAGTGCAAAGTGAAACGGCATTAAAATTTGTTAAAATAAATTTCTCTTTGACTTTTCACTCCAGGCCAGAGTTATATAAATTGTTGTCAAAAACTCAATCTTTGGTTATGATTTGTTTTGAAACAATTTTGCTTTTTTTCCAAGGTTGACGAAGCTGCTTATTTTGTTTTCCAAATTAATGTTCACGGTCATTAGTAGGATTTGTGTCCAGCTCCTCTACGTTCGGATTCGATTTGTGAAGACTGATGAAGAACAAACTCATGCAGAATCTTCCATTGTTTGCATAGTGAGAGTCTACTGACACTAGGTACACCACATAAGTATTTAATACTGCAAAGCTATCGGGCCGTTAACCCGGGCTTTCATCAGTGCAATTACCTGAATACACATTTACACTGTTTACACGTCACTTAAATATCACGTTAATCATGGTTTGTTACCTCGCGCCATTCACTTACCAAAATTAATATTTATGAAAAACAAATAGTTCCAATAAATAGGTCTATTATATAGTTTTAATCTTTTTTTTTGCTCAATAGTACGTGGCGTGCTCTTTTCAATGTCAGCTAGCTAAATACTAGTCTAGGACACGCGTATAATTAAAACTATAACTTTTTCATAATTATTTGGTAATTGAAACCGCTTAATTAATGGCGTAAGCTAACAAATCACGCCTAACGTGTTATTTTAGTGCCGTGTAAATGTTATTTCAGGGATTTCTCCTGATGAAGGCCCGGGTTAACAGGCCGAAAGCTTTGCAGTATCAAATACTTATTAGATTACTTAAACTGAGAATCGTTGAAGATCTCGATATATGACGCTAGGGCATCGCGTCGGATTCAAGGATACGAAGGGTGCCCAAAAGGGCAACTGGATGCAGGTCATTTCTCAGCAACACATGATGAACTGTTCGTTCCACTGGCCGTACTGCCAGTGGAAGTACTCGGCGCTTCCGTCGTGATGGCGATTTGGATTGATATATTCTCAACTCAAATAACACAATGTGCTTTCGCCATTTTATTTAAGTACATAAAAAATACATTCGCCCTAAGTACATACAATGAGAAATACGATGAGATCACATTTTAACACCCCACTAGCTTGATCTCATTCATATTTTTAACTCAGATACATCAATGGTTAACATAACTTTAACGATAATCAATATTTTACAAATATTTAGGTACCAAATATAAAATCTTTGAATCTTTGCAACTTTGAACGTGTTGGTGATTTAGTCATTATATCAGCTATCATATTGTAGTAGGACAGTAGTATACTACAACCTTGCCTGCGTTGATAGTCGAGCGGATAAAATGATAACGAATATCTATATGTTTTGACCTATTTCGATTAACTGGATCTTTCGATAAAGCTATCGTACCCTGATTATATTCATAAATTTGAATTAGACAACAAATATTAACGAGTTTGTTTAATAACTGGATGAGGTGAAGAGCTTCCTGAACGGTCACTGCCAGAGCAATATTCTCTGCCTCACAAGAGGAGAGCGCCACAGTCGGTTGTTTCTTTGATCTTCATGAGATCAATGGCCCGGTTTCAGTTAAACTGAAACAGTACCCTCTGATACTTCGTCTATCATGGATCGAAGAGTTCCAGTCAGCATCGCTAAAACCAACTAACCGCAAATCATCATCACACTTTCTATAACACAATTCATAATCAAGAGTTCCTTTCAGATAGCGCAATACATGTTTTGCCGCGAACCAATGCTCTCGGAGAAGTCTCGACAAATACTGTGACAATGTCGTGACAATCCAGCATATGTCAGGGCGCGTGCGTGTCATTGCATAGATCAGACAACCAACCAATTCACGATATTTACTTGGCTCAGTAAAATCCTCGTGGCAGAAAGAGTAGAGCGGGATTTGCAAACATACATTTCAAATCTTGTCAATAATTTTGTCAAATAAATCTCCTGATTCATTTCGACATAATCAGTGCCTTGCTCAAAAAGAATACCTACAATCTTGGACAAAAATGTTGTAACACCCCACCCCCAAAATCACTGTTGTAAGGAGATTTCACGTAGCAACAATAAATTTGGGGGGGAGGGGATTGGTGTTACAACAACTTTTGTCCAAGATCAATCTTATACAAAAATGTTGTAACACCCCACCCAGGGATTTTGATAAACAAGGAAACGACGTCAAACGATACGAGCACTTGGTCTGTGTCTAGAGTTTCACCTTTAATAAATTCTGCGAAATGAGTGGACTTTTTTATTATGTGTAGAGACTATTCCCAACAGTAGGAGACAATATTCTAGCCAAATACCTCGAAAGAGTATAAGTAGGAGAATTGAGAAAAGACACGATAGGTCTCAAAGGGATTCCCGACTTATGAATCTTCGGAAAGCCATAGAATCGCAGAGATAATCGATCGCTACTACGCAACAATTTATAAGAGACCTCGCTAATTTTGTTAGCTTTCTTAAAGAGTGATAGGCGTTTGTTCAATTTTTTTTCAGTCTTAAAAGTTGGGTCAGACTTAAGGACAC